GTTGCAGTCCGTAAGGTGGACATAAAGAATTTCGAAAACCAAGGAACTCGCAGTTCTGCACCCGAAAAGCCTTCAAAGCAAGAAGCTCGAGTCCCGAAACCTTCAAGTTTGGATTCAGTGCAAGTTCCACACTCATCTGTACCAGTTACAACACCTACATCTGAACAGGTGCAAGCAAACGTGAAATCGGAACAGGCTCTTACTTTTCAGGTTGCACCAGGTACCGGAGAAGTTTGCACTAAGCCTACTGATATCCCTGTTGACCCTTCCATAGTGAAGGGACACGAGGAAGTGCTTTCCGCTACAGATGGTAAGCTCATGGATTTTATGGGTATAGGGAAAATAGAGAAAGCTTTTGTTCCACTGCTAGAGGAAGTCTGTTCATTGCATCCCTCGTTGATTGAGTGCCAAAAGAAGAGAAGCCGTACTTATATTGAATGGTCATTCACAGCCTTGGGTCGAGTTTTGCATTTTCTGAAGACTACGAAGGTGAAGGATATGACCCCAGATACCTGTGAACGCGTTCAACTTTTGTGGGAGGAGCTTGAGACTTTTAAATTTGACTTGTGTTGGCTGGAGCCTTACGTGCAATCTGCTTTGGACGTGAAGAAGCTTGTGGAAAGGGCAGGGGTAGGTTAAAAAGCAGAGAGATGGTGTGGATGCGTTGGAGATGGAAGTGAAGAGGCTAAGGGCGAGGCTAGCGGTTGCAGAGTTGGATCTAGAGGTAGCAAAAATAGACTTGGCAAAGGTAGACGAAGGCTTCGGCGAGACCGATATGAACAGGGAGTTAGGCTATGGGAGGCATTGAACCTCATTTGAGAAACATCTCGTTGATATTACAAGTGATGTGCAATATCTCCAACACATTCCAAACTATTATGTATTAAGCACTTGCGTTCTAGTATTTTATGATATTCCAAGACTATTAGAGCAAGTGGGAATTCTCTTTTTTTTTCTTGTTTGGAATTGAGCACAATGTTTAATATATATATATATATATATATATATTTTAATTTTACACGAAACGATAGTGATTTATTGATAACTAATAATTATAACCTTATCACTTAGTAGTTAGGATTACGATCTAGATGTATTCCTTTTCACTTATAAGCATTACGATCTAGATGTATTCCTTTTCACTTATGAGTAGAGATTTTATGTTTGATTTTTGCCAAAAGCTAACTTAAACCACATTATTGCAAACTCATTGTAAGGCTAAGTACTTTCCATCCTCTTAGTGTAGATAATATCGTTTGTTAAAAATAAATTAAAAAATAATTACAATCTTCAAAAAAATATCATCGATGATATTGGAACCTCAATTACTAGGGCTAACTTGACCAATCTATGATGCACGACAATCAGCTGACCGTCCGTAAGTTCGGGAATTAGAAATGGATCGTAAACTAGATTTCACATCTTCAATCACTGGGTGTATGGGAAGCATCATTGCTTAAGGCTAAGCTGATTCCTTCCCTTGCAGCCAAGCTTCAACTAGTACAGGACTAGTCACATGGGAAAGATTAAATTGTAGTAATGGTTCATCAATTAAAAATTTATTACTATTAGTCTCTCAACTCATCAAAACGTGCAACTATGGTCCTTCAACTGAAAGTCTCTCAACATTAATCTAACTGGACAAATGATCTCTCAACTTCAACCTAATTGTAGCAATAATCTTTCCAACATAACTCATTTTGACAAAATTTTGACAAAGTTGACGAAAATGACCATAGCTACACGTTTTGACAAGTTAAAGGACCCCAATTGTAGCAATGGTCATTCCAACATAACTTATTTTGATAAAATTCTAACGAAGTTGACGAAAATAACCATAGCTACACATTTTGATGAGTTGAGAAACCAATAGTAATGAAATTTTAGTTGAGGGATCATTGCTCCAATTTGATTAAAGTTAAAAGACCATTGCTACAATTTACTCACGAGAAAAACCAACCACAAAGTCACCCATTGCATTGAAGTTTCCATCTGTATTCAGTTTTAACCAACCACAAGCCTGTTTAGACCAAATCAAGGGGACGGAGAGAATCACGGTTGAGGGGGATGGCTAGGATTGTAGAAATTACTGGAGATGAGAAGCAGTCGTCTGTATAAATTGAATGGGATCTGGAGTCGTACCCTCCCAAAGCAATGAGTTGCATGTGTGCCAGCCATATACCATACTACGACATCATTAGGACCTCAAACTGAGCTTGGAGACAATTTGTAGCATTCTGCAACATCCAGCCATGAATATTTGAGTTACTTGTGTGTGTGTGTGTGTGTGTGTGTGTGTGTGTGTGTGTGAATACATGGCATGGATTTACTGTTACTGCTACTATGTACTAATGAAGTGGTTGTGTGTTGAAGTAAGTGGATAGTTAATTGGTAACTTCCGTTACTGTTATACGAAATGTATTAACAACTTTGGTATAAATCATAAAGAAATATACAGAACTGAGAGGTAGGGTTTCTCCTTCAGAAATGCTAATGAAGCTCTCTCAAAAGTGAGACTTTTTTTGGACTTTCTGTCATCTCTCAGTTTAACGTAAATTCTCGTGCCAACACTATAAAACATTGTGCTAAACATATAAGATGACAAAGAGTCCCCTTAACATTTGTCGTTTCTTCTTTTTTTTTTTGTTCGCTCAGGACAAACCACTAATTAGAAAGGAAGCAGAATTGTTTTCTCATTGTTTAAGGAAGAGGAACATTCCCTCCCTACCATAATACCATTTGGTTCATTCATTTAAAATTTTACTTGAGTGAATCATTGGATTATGTAATATGAGGAACAGAAGTTGGAATTAGCAAAATCAGTATTGATAAATGCTAGCAACCTTTGCACTAATTTTTACATTGGATTTTTGAGAAATGCTAAAGAGACTTTCCTGAAATGAGATTCTCAAAGGACACTCCGCCACTTCATGTTTTTGGCACAATTTACATGCCAACATTACAAAACATTGTGCGAAAAAAATAAGATGGCGGAGAGTTCCTAGAGAGGTAGAAATGAAAAAGTAAATGAAAAGGAGGCTAGAATTCACCCTTTACCCAAATGAGTCGAATGGCAGATATCATAAAGAAATATATTGAATAAACTGACCGTCTGTCTTCTGGACCATGGTGGTTTGCATCACCTATTATATGCTCTGTATAATATACATATATATATATGTGTGTGTGTGTGTGTGTGTGTGTGTGTGTGTATGTGTGTGTGTGTGTTTGTGTGTGTTTTTTTTCATATGTTTGGTGGCTTAAGCTTGTAGGAGAATGAAGAAAGAAGAAGAGGAGAATCTTTGGTCTGGGACATTCACATGGATAATTTACAGGTTCTCTAAGTTGAGGAGCCATTGGCAATACTCTGACTTTTTCTTCATAGGTGGTTACAAGTGGCACGTTTTAATAATTAATTAATCGGGTCTCTCCAATTTACAAGCTTAAGATTTTTGTGCTTAATTATAAATGATGATAGGTAAATGCTTGTGGACTTGCTTTGTTCAGGCAGGTTAGTTGTTTACAGAATAGACAAGAAGAGCACTTGTCGCTAGATTTGGATGTTCCTGATGCTTCAACATTGCCATCTGGGTGGAGTAGATATGCCAAATACAGCTTCACCGTGGTTCATCAACTTGATAGCAACAAGTCAATAAAAAAGAGTACTTTCCTTTACTGATCATGTAAATGTTTATTTACCTTGGAATTTATGTTCGTTTTCTTCCCTTCTATTTCGTAGAATAGATTGTTTGGTTGATCACTCGTGTCTTCGTCATTACTTCCAATTTTTGTGATGTGCCCGTGATTATTTAAGGAAATTGATTTTTAGTTTTTTAACAAAAAACAAGTTATATATTTGGTGTTCTGAAGATCATTATTCATTAGAGCAATATTGTTTTGTTTCACGCATTCAAATTTTTTCTATGTTGAAAATATTTCTTTTTCTGTTTTGTCAGTATATTTTGTGTGTAAATTGGGTATGACTCTTTATGATATTGAAGGCATTTTAAAAGCAGAAATAAATGACAAATTTCTTATTCTGTCCAAGTTAAGGGCTACTCATGTGGTAGGATGAAAAAGGAGAACTATTCTTCATAAGTAACTTTTGATATTGAAGGCATTTTAAAAGCAGAAATAAATGACAAATTTCTTATTCTGTCCAAGTTAAGGGCTACTCATGTGGTAGGATGAAAAAGGAGAACTATTCTTCATAAGTAACTTTTAACTTGGACAAAAAAAAATTTGTCATTCATTTCTTTCCTTAAAATACATTTAATATAATGAATAATTCTATACAAGTCTATCTTCTCTATCAAACAAGGCCATAGTATTAAAAAAAATAAGACTGTGTATGTTGAAGTGTGCAATCCTATCAGAAACTTGACAAAATATATTATTACGTACTTATAAATGAATACTTATCAGTGTGATTAGTAATGGGTTGATGGCTTGACTGTGAAGTCTTGACAATGTACTCTATAGTCTTGAATATATTATAATTAGGTCTGTAATCAGCTAAAATATCTCCCAACAATCTGTTTAAATTGTGATTTTCTTACCTAGCTATATATTTTGTTGTACCATATATTGAGCCTCAATATTTGGGCCCCACTACTTAGCCTATGACATAGGTGAGAAGAGAGGGAAAACCTTATTCTATAAAAGGAATCTCACCCTCACTTTAGAAAGGAGGGCAAACCCTAGCCTCTAGAAACAAACTTCTATGTATATTGTAATTCTCAATTTACATAATGAAATTGGATCTACACAAGTGCTGATGTAGCTTCAACTTGAGGTGAACTACGAAATATCTTTGTGTTTGCGCGTATGTATGATTTATGATCCAAATTAGTTGGTCTAAAATCGATTTGATTTTGTTCATCAACATATTTATATTTGATGGTTGACAACATAATCGAATGTTTTTTCCGTTTTTACAATTCGGCTGGCCTCCTCTGTCTATCACCAATATTTCTTTTTTTACCTGGTCTTGTACCTTTTATGCATGCTTTTGACTAGCATCTCTTACACATTTTATTCTTTACTTGTAATTTATATTTTTTTATTTAAAATTTTAAACAACTAAATGAACCAAAACTGCCCGCTACGGTGCTTTTGTTCTGTTAGTTTGGGTTATTTATTTATTTATTTTAATTAAATTGTTTTTATTTTAAAACCCTAATTAGCTAGTGGTATTTTTGGGATTATGAATGATTCATCTTTTTTGCGTTTTTTTTTTTTTTGCCTCTTTTGCGTTCTTGCTTGGTTAATGTTTTATGCATCCAATTTAATGTTGCAGATAGCAGTGGAGAGTTTGTGGCAGAGAATAAAAGCTGGGGTTTTAAATCATTCATGCCTCTAAGTGAGCTTCATGATCCTGATAAGGGGTACCTGGTGAATGATTTATGTATTGTTGAAGTTGAAGTTTCAGTGCGTAATGGTATCAAGATTTTAGATGACCAAGAATCTGGCGAGCTTTTAGATTTTAGGGGTTTAGTACGAATAGAGAGAACTTTTGTTCCGTTGCTAGAGGAGGTTTGTTCGTCTTATCCTTCGTTGATAGAGTGCTTCAAGAAGAGAAGTGCTAGTCGTACGTTTGTTCAATCCGCATTCACAGCTTTGGGCCGACTTTTGCATTTTCTGAAGGCTACAAAAGTGAAGGATACAACTCCTGATGCTTGTAAACGTCTTCAACTGTTGTGGGAGGAGCTTGAGATCTTGAAGTCCAACTTGGGTTGGCTTGAGCCGCACATTCAATCTTTTCTTGTGATGAACAAAAGGGCAGGAAGAGTGAATAGACAGAGAGAAGATGTGGATGCTTTGGAGAACGAGAACGACATAAGAAGGCGAAGGGCTATGCTAGCTGCGTCCGAAGCCGATCTTCAGGTAGCAAAAAGAGATTTGGCAGAGGCGGAAGAAGAGTGCTTTAACAAGATAGATATGGATAGTGAGTTAGGGTATCCCTTAGCTTAATTTATCCTTGGATTTTCCATCAACAGTAGTCTCTCACTTGATACAACTACATAGTGAAACATGGACGGTTATCAGATCTGACTATGAATTGTTTCGTCTTTTTGTTTTTACTGAAAATATGACTTTAGTTTCTCCACATAAAACTCGACAGAAGTTTTCCACATCAATTATATTTGACTTACACATTTAAAATTTTTATGCCTAAAATACCCCTATTTGAATGTTTAATGTACACAATTAATTCCATACGGATTATAAAGGAGAATTAATGATTTTACAAAAATAAAAAAAATAATAAATTCATTGCCTAATATATAATAACAATAAAACATGCCTAATATGTCACATCCCGACCTGGGCCCCCACCACAGCACGATATTGTCCACTTTAAGCCCCTACCACACCCTCACGGTTTTGTTTCTGGGAACTCATACAAGAACTTTTAAAATACTTTTTTTTTTTATTTAGTTGAAAAAGATGTTAGATTTCAAATTTTAAAATGTTAGATTGCTTAAAAAAAAACAAAAGAAAAATAATTTACCCAATAAATGTAAAGTACATGCAAAATAATTTACCTACATAATAAAGTAAATCCCCAAATACATGAAAAATAATGTACCTACATACAAAGTAATATTATTTTATTCAATACGAGTTTACCTATTATTTGGACATACAATAATACAATGTGCCCAATATATATGATGATACGTACAAAATAAAATACCTACATAATGAAAAAATGTTATTTAATTCAAAATTAATTTACTTACAAACAAAGCAATTTTATTTTGATTCAAAATTAGTTTACCTATTATTTGTACATATAATAATGAAATGTGCCCAATAAATATGATGATTGTCACATCCCGGCCCGGGATCCACCACATCCTGGATCCGCTCCACCACCGTAGCACAATATTGGCCGCATTGAGCCCCGACCACGCCCTCACGGTTTTGTTTCTGGGAACTCACACGACAACTTCCCAGTGGGTCACCCATCATGGGAGTGCTCTTGCGCGCTACTCGCTTAACTTCGGAGTTCCTATGGAACCCCCAAAGCCAGTGGGCTCCTAAAAGGCCTCGTGCTAGGTAGAGATAGGAATATACACATAAGGCTTACATGATCCACTCCCCTGGGTGATGTGGGATGTAACAATCCACCCCTTTTAGGGGCCCGACGTCCTCGTCGGCACACCACGACCAGGGTTAGGCTCTAATACCAAATTGTCACATCCCGGCCCGGTATCCACCACATCTCGGGCCCGCTCCACCATCGTAGCACGATATTGTTCGCTTTGAGCCTCGACCACGCCCTCACAGTTTTGTTTTTGGGAACTCACACAAGAACTTCCCAGTGGGTCACCCATCATGGGAGTGCTCTCGCGCGCTACTCGCTTAACTTCAGAGTTCCCATGGAACTCGAAGCCAGTGAGCTCCTAAAAGGTCTTGTGCTAGGTAGAGATGGGAATATACATACAAGGCTTACATGATCCACTCTCCTGGATGATGTGGGATGTAACAATGATACATACAAAATAAAATACCTACATAATGAAAAAATGTTATTTGATTCAAAATTAATTTACTTACAAATAAAGCAATTTTATTTTGATTCAAAATTAGTTTACCTATTATTTGTACATATATCTTATAACAATAAAATGTGCCAAATATATGTAATAATACATGGAAAATATATTACGTACCTACAAAATAAAATAATGTTATTTGATTCAATATTAATATACCTACAAAATATACGTTATTGCTCATCCTAAATTTACATATAGGTAGATTAAGTAGTTAACATGTTTGAACATATATATATATATATATATATATATATATATATATATATATATATAGGAAGCCTTTAAGGGAAGGGATCCCATTTTTCAAAAAAAATGGGAATATCCTTTTAACCGTTAGATTTGACTTTAATGAAATCCTGTGGTTGAGATTTTGTGGCATGTGATTTAATCTCAGCCACATAATTTCATTAAAGTCAAATCTAATGGTCAAGAGGGTGTCCCCATTTTTCAAAAAAAAATGGAGATCCCTTCCCTTAAAGGGCCTATATATATATATATATATGTGTGTGTGTGTGTGTGTGTGTGTGTGTGTGTGTGTGTTAGGGGTTATAACATGTGCAATAACTATTTGTTTATTGTAATTAAGGTAAGTAATTACATTTATTGATTTATTTTGAATATTGTGGTACAAGTTGTAAATCTTTTGTAATAATAGGTTAATTACTTCTCTACTTGGCAGTCATTTTCAAATTTGGGTTTTATTTTGATGTTTGTAACTAGGTGGATTTTTGTTTAGGAAATAAGAGTTGTAAGGGTCTATATCTAAAAAACCCTTGTTTTTATTTCATCTCATTTTAAGTAGGGTCTCATGAGTTTTAGGCAATGGTGTGCCCATGTTTATGTGTATGTACACACACACACACACAATATTATATTTATATTTTAATATTTTTAATCCCACAAATTATAGTTTTTTTTATGTAAAATCTCATTAATATAAACAACTATAAATTTCAATTTTTAATTTAAAAAAATATAGTAACGTACATAAAATAAATTATCACATTAATTTCAGGGACTTCGATAAAAAATTGAAAACCAACAAGGCTTCAGTCAAAGAATTTTCATAACTAGGGACTGCATCCAAAGTCTCCCTAAAAAGAGACTTTAAGAAAAGATCATGGAGTACTTGGAGCTTATGAAAACTTGGCACCAAACCGAGCGCGGTGGCATTTTAGGATTCATACAGCCGACTCCACTTAGTAGGGTTAGACTTTATTGTATTGTTATCATTCAATTGTCATATACAATTAATATAAATATAATTTTAATTACAATCACCAATTGATTATCGAGATGATGATTATATTAGTTTTTTATTTAGACCCAGTCAATGGCATAAAGAAAACAAGAAAAAACCCCCCCCCCCCACTATTTACAACTTTAAATATAAGAGTAATGTTATTTTTACTACATATTTGTACCATCTCTAATAAAGGTAGGGATCACCAATATATGTCAATAACTAAAATTAACCAATAAAAACATATAGAAACCAATAAGAAGAGAGTTAAAGGCATAAATTATGAGTAAATTGTGTGCAAACTAGTTGTGGAGGGTAAAATAGGTATGAAAAGTTCACTCCGATTTTTTTTTAACCCTCAATTACGCTATAAGAATTGGGCTAAAATCAACTTTTTTATTAAATTAAATAGGATGATGCTTTACCTCAATGCTGAAAGCAATGAAGCTTATGCACCGTGATGCAGATTCTATGTCTATAAATCTACTTGACCACTAACTTACATGAATCAAAATAGCAATTTTGGGCCCACTGTGGACGGCCTAGGGTTTTATTACGATTTAAAACAAGGACTTAGCGAAGTATATAAGGTGTGTCAAATTCTATTATTTTTATTCACTGGTTTTATCAAGACAATCTCTCTCACTCTCTCTCTGTTATATCTCTCAAGAATCTCATGACAGATTCGTTAGGTGCTAGGTAAGTATAGTCTCTGTTAATTATGTATCGGCTATAGTCTACTTGTTTATATTTATACATAATACATTTTTATTTATTTGTGGATTTGATGATCTTGGTATATATAGAAATAGAATGATCAAGAAGGTGGAAGAGGAGGACCTTATGTGTGGGACATTCACATGGAGAATTCACAACTTCTCTAAGTTGAAAAAGTACAAGCATTTCTCTGACGTTTTCGTTATTGGTGGCTATAAATGGTACACTTGGGTATCTTGAACTTTTAAGCTTAGTTATATGTATAATTGGTTGATGGGTTTAGGGTTAATTGGTTTGATCTGCAGGCGGATGTTTATATATCCAAAGGGTTACAACGTCGATTACTTGTCCATGTTTTTGGACGTTCCAGAGACTAAGACATTGCCATATGGGTGGAACAGATATATCAAGTTCACCATCACACTCGTTGATCAATTTGATACCAGCAACTCAGTATAAGAGGGTATCTTCTCTACTTATCATATTAGTAGCAGTTCGAATTTTAACCTAATGGTCTTGCCATTCACTCAAGGCAAAATTTGTTAGATGGAATTTAGTGATTCTTATCCTTACCCATATTTTTAGTTTCTTTTTAACGTGGTACCACACAGCTTTGTCATTTTTGCGTGTCTTCTTGCTTTTTAGTTTTTTCTTTTACTTACTACATATTTTTGTCATTTTGTTGGGGTGTGTGAGTGCGTGGGCAGGCGAACATGCTTGCGTGAGCATGTGCGGGCGAGCAAACATGAGTGTGATTGTTTGTGCGTGCATGTAGTCGTGAAATTTTGTTTCCATCGGAAGATTGTATTCACTCATGGTGGTTTCAAAGCATACATTTGATGCTTTAAGTTTTAGTGCAAAGTTTAAGATATTGGAGAAATTCTAAGATAAGCATATAAGTTTGAGCTTTTGTTCAAAATATGTTACATGTTTATCCTCTACTAGATAATTTGAGGGAAGAGCGTTTGGACTTTGAACATCATTTGTACTATTAGTTTTATTTGTATGAGCGATATTGCAAGGGGAAGAATCAAACATAGGACCTCAGGTGCAGCGATAATTACTTACAAGACCATCACTTTGTCCCTATGTTCCTGAGTTCTGAATTATGTGTCTCAACTAGCTTTTCCTCTAGGAACATCTAGAAAAGTTCCAACTTCGAATTCCCTCTCCCAGTTTGATAAGGTACAATAAATTAAAATTTTAGTTGTAGTGTAAAAAAGAAAACTACGTGCCAAGTTAAACATATATAAAATCTATGCTCCAGCTGATGGTAATTAGGTTTGAAAGTATACTATATATAGTCCATAGCGTAATTTAGATAAGTTTTCAAGTTTTAATTAGAATGTTTGTCTCACATGTGTTTGAATTGTGTTTCATACCTGTTCTGTGGATCCATTAGAACTTTTACAATCGAAATGTCCTCTTCTATAGTTTATATGGATACATTATGTATACTTCTAATTTTACAGAAACGGAACATGTGTTTATGGCAAATACAGCTGACTGGGGATTTGCAACACTTGTTCCTCTAAGTCATCTCCACTGTCTTGATAATGGGTATCTGGTGAATGATGTGTGTATTGTTGAAGTTGAAGTTGAAGTTCCTACCGGTATTAGGATTTAGAAGACCAAGAAACCAGTGATCTTATGAATTTTAAGGGTTTAGGGCGAATAGAGAAAACTTTTGTTCCATTTCTAGAGGAGGTTTGTTCGTCATATCCTTCCTTGATTGACAGCCAGATGAAGAGGAGTCGTACCCTTGTTCAATGCGCATTCACAGCTTTGGGCCGAGTCTTGCATTTTCTGAAGACTACAACTGCCAAGGATATGAACATTGATGCTTGTCAACGTCTTCAACTGTTGTGGGAGGAGCTTGAGGCCTTCAAATTTGACTTGGCTTGGCTGGAGCCTCATGTTCAATCTGTTTTTGCTATGAAGAAAGGGGCAGGAATAGTGAATGGACTGCAAGAAGATGTCGATGCTTTGAAGAACGAAATAGAGAGGCGAAGGGCTATCCTAGCGGAGGCAGAAGCCGATCTTGGGGTAGCAGAAGGAGATTTGGCAGAGGCACAAGAAGAGCACTTCAGCAAGATAGATATGGATAGTGAGCTAGGCTATCCGTTGTCTTAATTCTTGGAGAATTTTCTCTTAGATAGTCTTTCTGAAAAAGTTATGCAGTAAAACTTGAAGGTTTAACTTTGAAACACTAATTCTGAATTTAATCTGGTTCATCCTTTTTGTTTTTCGGTTTAGGTTTCTTCTAGTTTTAAGAATACGAAAACTTTGCAATTATGTTATGGGATTACAAAACTTGTTATGTTGCTATCATTCTTAATTTCCCTTTCAAGTGTGATTGGTTTTATACTCGCAAATCTACGACAAGAAAGAAAATGGTTGTGGGGGTGTTTCACAGTTATTATCTTATGTTAGTGAAACACAATCAGTTTAGGGCACAAAGACAATCCTTCTGTGCTAGCAAAGGAAGTACAAAAAGCTTTTAACTTGACAACCTAAGTTGGGTTATAGTTGACGCAGGCATGTCTTGGATGATTATGATCATCAATGTGAACACTGTTTTATCATCTTTTAGGGGAAAAAATAACCAGCAAAGGAAGTTTTACCATACCTGCTGGCCCCATGCTCCGGCTTGGGGCCGGTGCAACCCCACTCCGCATTTTCATTGCTTCCTCGTTCCTTTTCTCATAGATTGCAAGGGATTTATTCTTCGTTTTAGTAATTTCTCACATGCTAGTTCGCGAAGTACTTGATATTTACATCAAGAATAGAGTTCTCTTGGGCTTGGAAACCATCTCGGTACTCTGAATTTGGGTGTGGATTGCTCTCAAATCCATCAGTATTGTGGCAACTAGTTTGGTCAAATTGGTTTTATGTTTTGTTAAGTCTATTGAGGATCTCTTGGATGTTCTCCACAATGTCGACTTTGATATTTAAGTTTGTAATCTCAATATATAGTGAGAGGAGCAATTTTGTGAAACAATTAAAATACAAAAAATTGCCCCTACTTAACCACAACTCCAAAAGTTACATTGAATGAATAAAGGGTACAATAGTAATTCAAAACGTAATACTAAGTGGCTTATACCAGGCTTTTTAAAATCCTAATAATTTATACAAATCTAAGGACTAGTATCACATTTACAAATTGATAAAAATTTTGGGTTTGAAGGATCGACGGTGCAGCAAGGGCAACTACCATGTTTTTAGTTTAGACATCAATGAAAAAGTCAACAAAAATCATTCTATAAATACTGCTATAATTCAAAATAATTACATAATTGTCAATCCCACCATGTTGTCCGGTAAAAGTTCAAGTACTAGAAAAGAGTTTTGATGCAATTTTTAGCACCTGTGCGAAGTGGCTTATAGATCATGTGCAATGGGGGCAAAATATAGCGTCTTTATTTTTATAAATATCTTGGCCCACAGATTATGGCTTAACCCAAATAAAATGGGTTGAGCTTGATACTTTTCCATAAAACCTTTCTCCATTCATAAGAAATCTTATGTTGGGATATTAAGAATGAGTTATTAACTAATTTATTTCCTTTCGTCTTAACATATGTGTATGTGCGTGTGTGAGTGTATATATATATATATATCGTTGTATAAAAAATGTGGTATTTAATGTTAGTTTACTTTAAATATTTTTGGCATACTTTGACCAACAAAGTTGAAAAAATACGGAGGCATAAAGAATTGGGCTTTAGGCCCAAATAAAACTGATTCTAATATTGATTTTTAGTTTCCTCAATGATTAATTTGATATTATTTTTTACTTATAAAATGAATATACACAAATATAGGAATTAAATGAGTCAAAAAGTAAGTCCCTAAACTATAAAGACTCGCCGAACACTTGGTATATGTATCCACATATAGAAACTCTATAGGGACTAAAATGGTAGACCCAAAATGACTAATTAAGTGGAAAAGTAGGCGTGGATCCCATTCACATGGCCTTGTCTTTTCTTTTTCTTTTCTTTTTTTTTTTTTTCTTTTCAACCGTTTAAAATGAAGAGTCCAGATTGATTCTTACTTTTCAAAATTTTTTACCATTGGGATCTTTGGTTCCAATTAAATAACCGTTTCAATTGAGATTACCCTCCCATGTTGGTTTTCAATTTTTTCTTTTCTCTATTCATATTGCATCCGTTAAAAGATTAATAGTTTCAATTTGGGTTACTCTCTCATGTTGTGCTCTCATCATTCTTATAAATACCAAATTATCTAACTACAACGTCATCCCCTATACTTAGTTCACTCGTACTCCATTTACTCATTCTAGTTACGATTTTGTGAAGAAAAAAATTTTGAATTTTTTTTTGTTAAAATGTTCACAAAAATATTTTACAAGAACGTAATGTTAAATTAATTAAAAAAATGTTAACATAAACAAAAAATGTGTACCTAATCAAATTATCACATAAAATTGTAAAAACCTCAAATTTAAGATTGATTATATTATAAGGATTCTTCCATTGGAGATAATATTCCTTCAGAACACAAAGATTCCCTTTTAAGTACTTATATAAGTACTCAAAGGTGGTGATGAGAAACCCTAAATAAGAACTCCCATTGGAGATGCTCTTAGTACTACAATCTGGTTGTATTCCTCTTTACTTGTAAGTGTAAGGCTTAGGTTCGAATGTCGTGGATGACAAATTCGATACCAAATTAAGTTGTCCATTGTGTCGCTTAGCCGAACTTCCCCCTCACCTTACTGTAAATATATCATTGTACTTGAAAAAAACAAAACATATAAGATCTACAAAAATTAAGAAAACCCGAGGTCCATTTAAGTTTAAAAACAATCACCAGATAAGTCGGACATAATTATATAACTTGACAGGTCGGCATAACATCAATGTAGTCCCAATACAAATCATCTCCATTGTTTAATTTTAATGCATAATTATAGTAGTAATACACAAACTGCTAGTAATGAAGTAGTAAAGGGGTTTGAGGCCGCCTTGAGTCACTTCTTTCTAAATGCTTTGAATATATTGTCCTTGTAGTATTTGAGCTCTCTGATGCTTTCTCTGATATCGTCCAAGGCTCTGTGTTTATTTTCTTTGGAAGGGGCTTTCTGATTATCTGCTAAACAACCACCATACAAATTAACTAACTAGTCGATACATGTCCCAAGTAAATTCACTCAGGAGTGCAAGTACAACAAAGCTTCCGGGTAAACACTCGTGTTCAATATACCCGTTTTCTCAGTTCGGATGGCCTAAAGGTGTTGGTAGAGAAAAATTAGAGTGTACCAGGTTATGTAAGAATTCTTACCTCTAGGATACCAGCGAATGCATAGAGCTTTAATACTGCTAACATCCACTAATACATGGGAGAAAAGGCGAGCCAAATCCGGCATGTACTTCTGCCAGATAGAAACCAGTTAAAGAACTCCAACCAAGCTGATTATATTCATATGTAAATAAGGAATGTTAACAAAATAAGGAAGATGTTTGCGGAATCTTCAAAAAAGTACAACCGTTCATTCTAAGACAAGGAAAAGTAATGGGCAGCCAAGGGAATAGGTTAGAGCTTTATCTTCCACAACAGACACAAAGATGACATTTTCTTTTGGTAAGAAATTGAACAATTAAATTGAATTCAAACATATGCCCTTGTCCAATATTCCAATTCCTCCAAAAGCCCCATAAACCTTTTTGTCCAAAGAAAACACCATGAAACCACAATCCACATGGTTAGGACTATTCTAAAGAAATTTTACAAACTACTACTATTTTTTTCCTCACTTTGTCCACAACCTCATTTGCAATCAAACTTACATCTATAGTATGGTCCCTGTTTACGAACGCCCCTTGTCTTTTACATCTCCAAAATCTTCCTTATTACTTTCTTTTGATCTTCCCTCCTCATCCCTTTTAATTTCCTCATAAGCTTGTCACCTTCCCACCCCAGACTTGAATCTTCTCATCATTCCACCATTCCTCAAATCACTTTCTCGAGTGGTGTTTCAGATCAAACACAACAGGACAACGATCTGAAGAAATCCTAGTAAGTAGTAAGCGCTAATGGCCTCAATGAGGAAATTCCTCTTCCCATTCTACTGAATTTAAATCTGTCCAATCTCCCCTGAATCACAGTTTCCATCATTTTTTACAATGTACAGAAGATGTTGTGCAACTCTGGATCATACAAATTTGTTTCCCTTGTAAAATCATTAAAATTCCTCATGCTTCTTGTCACCCTTCTTCCATTAGATTTCTTGTGGAAAATGTCAGACTGCACAATTTATAACTTGATCCTATTGCTTACTCTGGCTCTGCTCTATTATAGCTACTAGACAACAGTATAACACTGTGCAGCATAACTGTAACCTAATATAGTAAAACCTTGTAGCAGAACTGTAACCTAGATGGAATGTAAGCATTCATCAGGAAACTGAGGTGTGGACTCCCTTGAAGAGTTTACTCATCATTTTACGTTACACTTTCCCAAGTCTAATATAGATGTTTCTAGTTAGAATGGTGTAATCCTTAACTGTAACTTCAAAACTGGAACCACCAATTCTTTTTGGAGATAAAAAAAAAAAAAAAAGCTATAATTAGGATTCTGATTACGTAAATATCTGGTATCCTGGTTCGTTTAAGGGTGCAACTTAGTTTCCTAGTAAGTGATTTGGTTCTTATTTAGTTTCCTACTCTGAAGAAGCTTGTGATTAAAATCATACCTAATTTGTATTTCTATCCTTATTTTCCCAGAATCCCTACTCCAAGCATCTGCTTCCGACATAACAGGAAAACAACCAAATAAGTGAAAAATGTCCATTAATGCGGACGCAAAACAGATGTGCTGCACAGTGAGGTCCCTCCTTGCATGCTGATCGGCTTATGAAATAATACCAATGTACTACTAATAAAAAAATACATCAAAATCAGTCAACCTCCTATTATACCTTTATGCAATTCAAGTTAATTACGAATAAAATCCAGGAAAAGTGATTCAAATTACCTTCAAAAACAGAAAATCCACATAAACTGAATTTCCTGCTAAGACAGGTTGATATGTTCCAATGTTTCTCTTTACAAATTCTATGACCTGCAGTATTCAAGTACATATTTACTTGCCCAGAAATATAAAGAAAGAAGTATGTGACAATAATATCATCAACAATTAAATTTGCTCAAACAGATACACCTAGAACATACAAAAAGATCACAAATGAAGTGAAAAAAGGATGATTACTTATAAGTAATGTGTATGTAACAATTAAATTAACTAGTTGTTCATCAAAACAAGGTCGGAGAATTTTCTTATCCAAAACAACTAAGGGAAAGTACAATAGATATCGAATTTGTCTTCTCTACGTGAGGAAATGACCAAAAGTTCCAGGTTGTTTGTTATTTTGACATCGAGAAACTCAGAGGTAGAATTCTTTAAAAATAATTCCATTGAAATTGTTTAAATTTTTTATTCAATCCTATGATTAAACACATGTTATTAAAATCACATTGAATATTGATTAAAAGAATACCAGACATCAAACGACAGAACAATAATTAATTATACCAACCCAAACTGAAGGTTCATGAGTGCATCATAGTCTTAATTATACCCTGATGCAAATAATCATGCATTTCCGTTTGTTTCTTTTATTTCTGGTGTCTAGTTATCAGATTTAGTCACAGTTTAGGTAGCCATTCAGTTTCTCTAATAAAGTAATAACGAATATGTAGAAATACCAAGTGTTACTTAGGCCCCAAGGATAAGAGAAATTCATTGATGCAGTTTTGGAGTTCAAAACCTTCTTTTTATGGAATAGAAGTGTCTACTAGAAGATGAAGTATAAAGAGCTTTTCCCAGGTTCCCCTTCAGAGAAGGAACTATAACTTCTTCCATAATTCCATTTACATTAAGTGGTACCACAGCCACCTTAGGCATGCAATTTCTATGGATCTATAACTAGAGAAAACCTATACAGTCTACAACAGCACTTTCAACAAAAGCAGCAGATTCTAGAGAAAATTACTCAACTATGAGGAAGGATGGAGCAAGCAGAAATTTTCAGTCTTCCTGATCATACTATTAAGTGGCAAAGAGGTCAGCAAACATGTCTAAACATGAACCCTCCAGCGACACAAAGATACCAACAGAAACAGCAGCATTTAGAGGATTCATAAGATGACAGTGTAGCTTTACCCCATCTCTGGTGATATGCAGATGATGAGTGTTAAACAGGACCAAGACCACATAGCAGCCGCACAGTTAACAAATGTGCATATGATAAAAAAAATATTGACAAGAAATCTCATGTAAAAAAAAAAAAAAAAAAAAAAATTCTTTCACACCTGCTGTTCAGCTTCTTTTTCACTAATCGAACTTTCGAGCACTTTTGTCGTCAACCCTAATATTATTAAAGTTAGTCAGTCGTGAAATCCTTTATCATATGCTAAAATGACAAGAGATTCTTGTGCACAAAATAACACATGGAGATAAAGAGGACAAAATCTTCATTCATATGTTCCTACAAAGTACAAATGTCAGATGACAATTTTATTACCCTGCTTACTTACCACTAGCTGCATGATGAGTTTGACACCATTCTCCCATTCTATCTAAACACTCCTTAGTTTGATGGATAACTAAATCTGGGCCCTGAAACATAAAAGGGGAAAAAGGGAGGAAAATAACAGGTTGGGTATCCATGTGACAATGCTAGTTAGTCAACTGAGATGCATGTTGAAATTGAGTGCAATTGATAAAAGAGCAAGTGAACTGTAAGACACCACAATAAGAATCAGGAAAAAGATAACATCTCAGGGTATTTCGACAAACAAATATCCTTAACTCAATCAGGTTTTGTTTCTTTAACTTCTCAAATTACAAGATTATAAATAAAAAAGTTTAGAAAAATGCTGTAGCTTTACAATTCCAAAGTCAACAATTAGTGTAAATAGCACATGACTATCATCTCAGAGAAATCAACGTCTGATCATTCTATTTAGTAGATCAGTGCACAGTTATTTCACCATATTTGTGACCTCTACACAGATGTTAAAGGCTAATAGAATAAGGATGACTCAATCGCACTTCGGAAAATGACACTGAGAAAGTTGAAACAGTCACCCAATCTCATGGATATGTGAACCATTGGTGCTACCTAACCTTTTTTCTTTGGTTTCTTTTTTTGGAATGATGCTATCACATTACAGCTACAAGTTCAAAATTATCAAAAGGCGATCCACATTTCACAAGTTGAGAAGAGGGAATACAGTTGATGAATACAACCCATTTCCATATTATAAGGAGGACATGTGAGAACAAAGAAGCCTTGGAAAGTTTCCGTAATATTTAAACTACTAGTGATTATCAGTCCTACATGTTCTTTACGATTGAGAAAACTCAGTCTCTGACCTGCCCTTGGAAACCTACTAATTGAACCTATCAGAGACGTTTTGATCCCTTCTTCACTTTTGAATCTTGTTTTTTTCTTTTCGGGAGATATTTTCATGTAGCTATATAGCACCCACTATAAGATATCCTGAGTCTTGAAAACCCCACCAAAATCACAAAAGATCAATTCCAAGCCATTGACAGATATGCTAGAGTTAATATGAATAACAAAACAAAATCGAACTAACTTAACGGAGAGAACTGATTGACTGACCAACTCTTGAGCAGTGCACACGCTATATCTAAAAAGGTAATTTCCTCACTAAGTACTATTAACTAAATATTTTTTCAGAATCAAGTACCATAAACTGGTGCAGCACAAATATTTCAATAAGGCGTACATGCAGCCTAAAGTAATTATGTATGAATACTCTACTAAAAGAAAATTCAGGTCCTTGTATACATGGAATTGGTTTTCTATAACTGGTGGAGTATAGGCTAGTTTCAGCCTCAAATGAATCTGTTTGAGGAGTTGACTTTCTTGGTTACCTTAATTGTTGATTGATCAGCTTAATTCCTAAAAACTAGATTAATAGTATTACTGAATTTTTGTCTTAGAGTTCTACATAAACACCAACACCAATGTACTCTACTAACTTGTAAATTTGTAACGCAATCCAGTTTCTTAGTTCTTTCTTTTCAATACCAACCACTACTTTCACAGAATCTCAGAAGCTGTCCCAATATATGATGCTCCACAGACAGGGATTTACATGTCAAGACAAGATTTCATTACAGAATTCCAGGGGGAATAAAGTGCAAGAATGTACATATTCTAGATAAAGTAAATATAACATATATGAAACAGCCAAAATTATGCCAAAACATAAAAAAATTTATAATACTTACTGAGTTCACCCCATGTAATCTTTTAAATTGCAATCAGGGATAAGATTCAAATGTACTAGAAGATTACATGGTGCTGATATATAAAGTAGCTGACTACCCAAACATTAACAAACTATGCTGAAAATACCTCCACTGACTTGGTTAATTTTCCATCAGTGATTATACAAGCAATCTCCAGTATTCGATCAACTTCAACATTTAAACCTGCATGGCCATGGAAGTCAAGGAGAAGATTTTCATGTCATCACATTTTAGAGAAATTAATCATAGACAATATCAATTGAAGTGAAAACATAAGAATGTCAGTTTGAAAAACTACATTGTCCGGCATTCCTACATATTAAATGCGCGTTTTTGTTTTATTTTCCAGAAAGAAAACAGAATGATTTTATTAATAAAAAAGACTGAGAAGGACAACTAAGGTGGACCGGTTGTCCATATATAAATAACCCTTAACCTACAGAACATCCTTAGCACGAAAGATAGACACCCTATCCACATAGAACAGAAGAACCAGACAATTACAAGCATGAAGCCTAGGAAGCAGCAACATCCAATTTGGAAGGAAGAAAGGAAGTCAAAGAATGCAGCTTAACTTGATGCTCAATACAAAGCAAAAAATCAGTCTTATCCCATTACCAATACACAAATTCCCCTACCAGAACCAAAAATATGGCTAGTGCGCCAAGACTATCAAAGAAATCATCAATGCTATTTTTCGCCGGGGTCTTCAATTATCAATATCATTTAGTCAGACATTCTTATATTATACCAAACAATATTACCCTCACCAGTCATTTCCAAGTCAATCCATACCAGGGGCATCTTGTATTCTTTTGGAAGCATCTCTGTACTTTGTTGACTCTGCTTCTCGTTTATGAGCAACATTTTATCAGAGTTGATGACTTTCTTATCGCTGCCTGCTTCAAAAGATGCATTATTAGAATGCAGATATTCAATCTCCATATGGAGAAAGATTGTCGACCAATATTCATCTAAAGTGGTCCAAATATTGTTACTAAATATATGCCCAAGTCTAGCCTAAGATCATGAATCTGGTTTACATTTAGGTAAGAAATGTTAAGAAAATAAGTTAATTTCTGTAAGATAACATTAATTTTACTACAGCTTCATAATTATACAAGAAGCATTGGACAAGATCTCCACTGTACAATACAATCACCAACAAAACCTCACAACAAGAAAACACTCTGAAAAACACACGCATTCAAAAAGTTACAACTTCTTTGAGGGAAAAATTAAGAAAAAGAACCTAAAAATCGTGTTTCCTGATTCGGTTGGTTGCATTGAATATGCAAGTATACAGCATCCACATATAAATAACAAAAGTAAATAGTAATTAGAAAGCATTCCCAACGACTTAGATCCGGATATTGTCGAAATCACCTCAATTTACAGGCTCAATCAGTAGCCATAGAAATGGTCCCAAAATCAAAAGCAAACAAGGGGTTTATAGCCTAAATCAGCAACAAACTTCACTAGTAACAAAATAAGTGTAGGCATGCTTAATTCATACACAATCAACTAATCAAGCGACCCCAAGACGGCTTTTTCTTCAATTTTTCACATTTTTGGCAAAATAATCATACACACTAAAGCAATTCTCAAAAGATAGAGAAAAGGGTTTGCATTAAGCAAAAGGCAGCATTCCAAATAAGCCTAACCCTAAACCCTAACCGATGGAAGGAAAGTGAATGAACCTGAAGATTTAGGAGTGTCATTGGAAGCAGAAGATGCGAATCGCATTGGATCGTCGTCTTCCGCGTCGAGCTCCAGCACAGAGAACGCATTTGCGAGGCACTCCATTGTTTCTCTGTGTTGAATATGGTTGCTTGGTTGTGGTTCTGGGCAAAATTTGAAGTGAAACAGGGGTTTAACGAGAGAGCAATTTCACAACTGCGGTTAGCTGCAATCACAAGTGTCTCATTCTGCGACTTCGGGCACGTTTACAAATCGTAATCAAATTGAAAGGAATTGAATTGAGGAAGAATTGGATTGGGTGGAATCAGAATCAGATTCTTGTTTAAGTTGTTTAGTAAAACTATCTGGAATCGGACTAGGAATGATATTGAGTCTATATAAATTGTTTATTAATTCACTTCAATCGGAATGAAAACTAATTTGATTACTATATTGTCCTTTCCTAAATAAATTATTTTCATACTAATTAATTATATTAAATTCTTAATTAAATTTATATAATAAAATTCATCTATATAAAAATATATAAATGGGTTTTATTTATTTATTAAAAGATGGTAGGAATGATGTTGAGTTCATAAAAGTTGTTTACTAATTTACTTTAATCGCAATGAAAACTAGATTTGATTACTAAATTGCCCTTACATAAATAAATTATTTTCATACTAATTAATTAATTTAAATTCTTAATTAAATTTATATAATAAAATTCACCTATATAAAAATATATAAAAAGGTTTTATTTATTTATTAAAAGATGTCATAATGAGTGTCAAATGAAGGCCAATGTTGGAATAATTAGAAACAAGTGAGGGCATAATTGGTAGAAGAAATCCATTCCGGATTCCTCAAGTATCAAGGAATTGAAATACCTCCTTCATGTAGAGAGTCCAATTCTTTCAAAATTAGGAGTTGAATTCCTTAATGTGTGTGGACCCCATATGTACTTTGATTTCCCAAGATTACATAAACAAAGGTGTATCCCGTAATCGGAATCCAATTCCGTAAATTGATTTCGATTACGGGTACGTAAACGTGCCATTAGAGTTGTTAGGTTCGATCCTTCCGCGAATTATAATCATTTTATTACTAGTTTATTATGAGACAAGTTCGATTTTTCCCAACCACACTCCATTAGTATAGATAATATTGTTTATTCAAATAAAAAAATGTCTGATACTACTACATGTGACTGTATTGTTAAAATATAAATATATATATATAGGGAAGTGTTATTGACATTTTAAAAATCTTATTCTACACTCCTCACAAGTGTATATTTCTTTCTAAATATAGAAAGTTTGAAGTGTAGAATGAGAAATTTGGAGTGCCAATAACAATTCCCTATATATATTAGTATAGATAATATTGTTTATTCAAATAAAAAAAAGTCTGATACTAATACATGTGGTTGTACTGTTAAAAAAAAAATATATATATATATATATATATAAATGAAGGGTTTTTATCATAAATAGTCTCTAAAATTGACCCCTCCCATCAAGATGATTCCTAAAATTGAAAATTTATCAATGTATTTCTTGAAAATGAGTGTCGCAAATCAATGTGGTCATTTTGTTAGAATTCCGTTAAAAATTTCATTAAGTATTGATGTGGCACATAACTAAGTCCCACAAATCTATTAAATATTACCATGTGAATTAAAATATTTAAATAATAATTAAAAAAAACCTTTTATTTTTACAAAAAATTAAAAAAAAAAAAAAAAAAAATTGTTCATCATCCTCTTTCCTTTCCCACCGAGCAACCATTATAGCCCCACACCACCCTGTTGACCACAACTTTAGGTCAAGCGACACAAGAAAGGTTTCAGCTCGATTATCAGCACCGGAGAGCACGAGGACTGCAAGAATGGGGGTGCGATCGATTAGATTGGCTGGAGCAGAAGGTGTCGATATGATCGCGGGACGAGAGATGTAGGTTGGGCTTGGAGTGATCAAACGGGTGAGGATGGCAAGGTTCTGAAAAAACGCTAGGCGCTAGTCGGACGGCAAGCTGGTGCCTAGTGGCTAGGCAGGCTCTACGCGGGCACCTAGGCGGCCTAAGCGGATTTAGGTAAATTTCTTGTATATCTTGTAAATAAGTGCATATTGACACTTATAAAAAATTATACTTGTATAAAATCCATGGATAAGATAATAAAAGAATGATAAAATCAATGTTCTAAAAGACACTAGGCACTAGTCGGATGGCGAGTTAGGGGTAGCGCCTAGACGGATTTATGTAAATTTAATATAAATTAATTAAATTTACTATATAATATATAAATAATATGTCTTTTCTTTTAAAATATTATATGTGATGTTAAGATTTAAATACATACTAATGTAAATGGTCTTAAAAGAAAAAAGAATAATAAAGCAATAGACCTTTACCAGTTTATGTAAATGGTCTTAAAAGAAATAAAAGAATAAAAAAATTGGCAAAGAGAGTAATTGGACTAGAAATAAAAGAATAAAAAATGGTAAAGAGAGTAATTGGACCAAGACCCGTGCAATCAAAACTCAAAAGAAAGGAGATGGTGGGAGCATAAAGAATTCACCCTGCCCATTCGTTTAAATTGAAGCTAATATGGTGGTCCCCACCCCTTCATCTTCTTCCTTTTGACCAGCAACATCATTTTTCCAGAAACATTTTCAGATCCCGACACCTTCTCATACGCCTGCCTAGGCCCGCTAGCTTCCGCCCAGCCCCACCCATACCTGTATAGCTTCGCATAAACCTGCCTAATCCCACCTAGGCGTCCACCTAATACATTTTCCGATTTTTCAATTGATTAACAGTTAATTGGAGCGGTCGGTCACTGTCCAACCCCTAGGCGCTGCCTAGGTCAATTTTTAGAACGATGGAGGTGGTGGTGGTTTCATTGGATGGTGGGGAGAGGTTGGGAGCTAAAGAGGAGGAAGAGGAAGACATTGGTGGTGAGAGTGTGGAGGGTTTAGTGATCAATGTTGGGTGGGTGTGGGGGTATATGCATATGGTAATTGCATTATAACAGGGCTTGGGTTGATGGCTGTGTCACTATAGGAGTTGGGTTGGGTTTTTGGGGAGGGAAAGAAGATGATGAACAATCATCTTTTTATTTTTAAGTTTTTAATTATAAATTGAATCGTTGGAAATCCCGAAGAAGTCACCTAGACGTCCAACGACTTTTCTAATTCAATTCACAAGATTCTCTAAACCATTGTTCATAAATACATTTAAAAACTAAGGCTAAAATGACACAGTTCGGTCGAAACATATAATAAGTAACCAAGCAGATAGTGACACCCCAATGCGGATTAACCGAGCAAAGTCACTCCTATACATGCTAATAGGCAGTGATCACCCAATGCAGATTTACCAGGTGTGATCACCCCTAAACTATGTATGACCATACCTAGGTAACGAGGATCGCCCAATGCGGATTAACCAGGCACAATCCTAGAGTTGCCCAATGTGGATTAACCAGGTGCAACCCATATATAGTATGGTTCACCAATGCAGATTAACTAGGCGTAACCATCCATGTACCATTGCTACATGGTGCAATCACATCATCACACAACATACATCAAAATAAATAAATTATAATTACTAACATACAAACTATCGATTCCACAAAACAAACGAATATCGAATCACATAACATACATTTTATAACCTACGTCATTTCATCATGAATCACAATTTCAAATATACATATTACCGATTCCCCTTAACTACCCAATATCTAGCCACACAGAAATACGAGTTCTATGAACTTTTCTAACAAGGTTCCCTCTCATATTCATACTAGTGGCCATATCTCTTATAGGAACTGATATTAACACTCCAAAAATTTCATTGTACACTCCTCATAAGTGTATTTTTCTTTCTAATTATAGAAAAATTTGGAGTGCAAAATGAGATTTTTGAAGTGCAAATAACAATTCCCTCTATTTTTATATTATCTAGAAATCCAATAAACATATATATCACAGTAAGGCATCAATTTCACAAACACCGAGGTATACATTAACTCGGATAGCTTGCTAACCAAGATAGGCCCACTAGACTCTACTTACTCTCTAGTAATATTAATTTTAGTATTTAAAAACAATTCGAAACATGTTGACCAAAAGTCAACTCACCATCAACGGTAGGGTCCATAACCCTATGTTATTTGACCCTGAATATCTGCCTAACAGATTTTTGATCCATAACTTCCCAAAGGTCTCATTACTCTTCTAGAACAATATCCTAAAATTTCGAGACGATCCAGCAGTTGGATGTTCGCCAATCGCTAAACTTAAGCGGTGATCAACAATTAGTTTTGCAAACTTAGAAATTCAATTTAGGAAGATCCGTATGTACTCAAATATTACGTACCATAACGTACTAGGTTTGGTGACGATCATACGGTTGGATCATCAATGATTATAACGATCAGGTGGTGTAATCTAACAAAACTATGTTCAAACGATAAGATTTCGTCAATCAGATGTTAAATATGGAATCGGGGCATCAAAATTAATCTAGGAAGACCAAGTGGTATCTTAGCCACGCGCCGCCGCCACCCAACGGCCGGTGGCCTCGATTTGCCAAAAAATACACCTAACTCCATAATTTCTCACATATATCAAAATGAAGATCTTGAAGAGAGGAGTAAGTTTTATACCTAGGCTGGGGTCCAATTTGCCCAGGAAGTGGCCTAAAAACGCCATGAACAACGTGAATCCCTAGAAATTAGTGTCCTTAATTCGTCTTCCCCGATGCTTCGCCATCCCTAAACTTGTTTGGACTTTGTTCCTGGGCTTAATGAGAGCCGAGAATGGGTGGTGGATGGTGGTGATGCCTGCAAGATCAACGGATCACCATTGGTGGCACTATTGGTCTCATCCCGTCATTTTTCGCTATACGGGGTCAAAACCTTGTCGAACTTGGATGAAAAGGGAGAGGGAAGGCCGGTGTGAAGTTTCCAGGTGGTGGCTCGGTGAAATTCACGGAAAAAAAGACAGAAAATTGCCGAAAATCTTACTGGGTCGTCGGGTCTGGAAACGGATCTCCTGCTTCTCTCATCTTTCATTTTTCTCATTTCCCCATTTCTGATTGGTCCCCATCTCTCTCCTTTTCTCTCCTGCATCTCTCATTTTCCCCCTCTCTTGCTACCATATGGCAGCTTCTAGTCCTTTTTTTTTATTTATTAATATAAATTCCAGAAAATACTATAAAATCTCGTTAGTACAAATATGTAGTTTACAATAGTGAAAACCAGGAACCGGGTT